AGAAGTAGTAGTAGTAGAGTAGTACGAGTGAAGAAGAAGAGAAGAAGTAAGTAAGTAAGTAGAAGAAGTAAGTAGTACGTACGACGACGTCGTGAGAGAGAGAGAGAGAGAGAGAGAGAGAGAGAGAGATTGACAATAGAGGGGAGTAAAGATCGTAAATTGCCTGCTAGAGAGAGAGAGTGTGTGTTAAAAAAACCTGTAAAGAGAACAAAAGGGAGTAAAGATAGCTTAAAATGCCTGTAATTAATAATCGGAGCAAGATTTAAATTCCGGTGAACGTTAGAGAGAGAGAGAGAGAGATAGGACTAAATATCGATCAATCTGCCTGTAAATTACTGCATAGAGACGGGAGAAAAATTGTCTAATATCTTATTAGAGAGAGATAAAGAGGAAGGTGGAGATGAGCTACAATGACTGTAATTGATGAGAAAGAGAGAGGTAAAGATAATCGCTGTACTTGAAGAGACGGAAGCCAGTGAAGACGAATTAAAATGACATTGAAGAGAGAGAGAGAGCTGACCTGGTGAGGCTTCAATTCCTCCTCAAGTAACTACACCAAATGCATGTTTTAGAGAGTGCAAGAGAGAAATGCTTGTTTCTTGGATCTTGAATCTTGAATTCTGGCTCTCCCCCCTTGAATCTTGAATCTGGAATCTTGAATTCTCGATAGCGCAACGCCCAAACCGTTTCTCTCTGTTTCTCTCTCTTACAAAATTATTTCTCTCTCTAGAAAATGAAAACTATATACTGCACTTTCTATTAAACAAACGAGCGTTTCTCTCTCTTACAAATATCTTTGGTATTTTTAAATTCATCAAAACTCAATAATAATTTATCATCCATAATTTTTCAAAATTATGTTCCTATACCTCTTATTTTCTTTTTCCCAATTAACATAAGCTGATGTTCTTGCTCTATTGCTAACATCAGTACGTTTAGTAGGAACTACAATTGAAATAATGTGATCTAAATTTTCGTGCTCTAAAATCAAAGCTAATCTTCTTTTCCATGTATTATAATTCGTCCCATTGAGTTTTTCTATCTTCAATTCTTGCTTAGGATCCATGAATAGCAACAAATACAAATAAAAAAAAATAAATCTAGTTTATAGATGTGATCTCACTTAGCGCTAGTATGGATTATCAAGAATAGAGCTCAAAAAAAATATGCAACAACCGTTGAGTTGAAAAAACCTCGATGTGAATCCAGCTCAATCAATAATTCTTCCAACTCATCAAAAAAAAATACCCAAATTGCTAACGAACAACAATATATGGTGTTCTAGTATATTATTTTCTCTCTCTAGATTTGGGGGAAAAAAATGATATGGATTAAACTGTAGTGAAATAGAAAAAAGATTAACAGATTATGAAACATTAGAGAAGATAACTCTCTATTATC